ATGAATGAATGAATGAATGAATGAATGAATGAATGAATGAATGAATGAATATATATTATTATTATTATGGTTGGTCACACAGTCAGCCAGATGTTCAAACTGTATAACATGCCACTGATAACAGGCCACAAAGTCACCTGAGTTCGCACAGTGGAACACGCCAGCTGTGCTCAGGTGAAGAGCATGGAACGGAAAAGTATTGCACCTGTGATTCTTGCAAGACAGCAAGGATGTATTCACCCATAGCTGGCCCTTCTAGGTTAGCCTACATCTAACCTAGATAACCTATTAAATGTATTCAGGATGTATTCACCCATAGCTGACCCTTCTAGGTTAGCCTACATCTAACCTAGATAACCTATTAAATGTATTCAGGATGTATTCACCCATAGCTGACCCTTCTATGTTAGCCTGCATCTAACCTAGATAACCTATTAAATGTATTCAGGATGTATTCACCCATAGCTGACCCTTCTAGGTTCGCCTACATCTAACCTTGGTAGCCTATTAACTGTATTCACCTGTAGTTGACATCTCTTGAGGAGACAAAAGATACGGGGATTGGTCCACTGCACAGAAGAGATCAAAGGGAAATCCCAGTTCAGGTGATGAAGAACTTCTTGAACCATCAGTAATCTCTAAATGTTATATCTCCTTGAAGCAAAATGTATAAAAACCCTGATCTCTTTGTGTTCGGCAAGCCTCTTTCGATAGAGGTATCCCCTTTACTGCTGCGCACCGATAAAGGAATTTTGCTCTAAGGAGTTTCTCGTGTCTGGCGAAGTTATTGGCCGTCATCTCTGGGCTAAGAACCCCGTTTTGGGTCCAACACAGGAGTGGGGCCAACAGCTGCAAGGTGGGGGTTCACCCACCAAGTTAGGGGCTCAACCCATTGTGGAGGGTTATGCAATGCCCTGAACACTGGGGCAAGGAAAAGGGTTGGGTTTCCCCCTGCCGCAAGCCGCCATGAAAAAAAGTAACGTAGATTAAACTAACCAAGTTTAGAATCATGACACAAGGTTTGGTTGGGCAAAATTACCGGGGACTGAAATAACCGGCGTATCGTCAAAGCTTTGATGAAAAAAGTAAGGGCTTTGGGTCAAGATGCCCAATCCTTTGTTTGATCCTCTGTTTCTTTTCCTAGCCTCTCTCGCTCTCCCCCTTCTCCCCCTCCTCTCTTTGCTGGACTACATTTCCCAGCATGCCTAGGCAGCTGCGCAGAGAGGAGGGGCTGTAAGTTCAGCAGCCCCCCCTTCCCAGCTTTGTTAATTCCCAAGCAGGGAGGGGGA